GTGCGCGCTTTCGGATCGTACGCACGTACATTTGTACATATCATGTACATTGTACATGACGTACGACTCTGTGAATAAACTGATGAAAAGAGACTACAAACACATACAAGTTTAACGTTGCTTTGGAGTTTATTTTCCTGATTAACGTCAGTCAGCATCGCATATGGAATTCCTGAACCAAGTGGCCAATAGATAAGGATACATAGAGTATGTAGGCGTGAAATAAGCTTCTATAACGAGGTAAAACATACAAAACTCTGGTAAAAATATTGGGATGGTTTCATGTAGAAAAGTCTTGTCCTGGACGTTAGTCGTATTGCAATGAAGACTTCGTCCAACCTGGGCTAGATAGACCCCAAAACCCCTCTTGATTCTACACAGGATCAAATAATACTACATGAAGATTTATAAAGCACATATATCCACCTATTAAGGTGCTCAAGGCATTATAAACACAATTAATCGAATTTACTCAGAAAATAAACATTATACCAATAGAGAGAGAAAAAAAAAATACAAATTACAAATGAAAAAATAAACAACAGATATGTAGAAATGCAGCCGGTGTCTAGGTGCATTCCTCCCATGTGAAGAACATGAATGTCGGGCTACATTGCCAGGCATCTCCAATTCAGCTGTATACATGAAAATGTGACGAATGGACACCAACGCCCATGCCACTCACGTGATCGGAATGCGTGTAGCTCAGATAACAATAAAGAGAATGAATGAAGCTAAAATCAGAGTCATCAGATGTGTTTCGATGGATGCTTTGAAGGAGAGAATGGCATCAGATGTCCTAATGTGTATTGCATTGGTTCCACAGGTGAAGTATTTAAAGTGTCTGAATAACTTACACACGATTTAGAGATGTCTCTGAGATATCTCTTAATCCATTATTCTATTATTCATTTAGAGATATCTCTAGATGAATTGGAGAATAATCTTTTAGAGATGTCCTAAATCTTTTAGAGATATCTTTAAATCTTGTAGAGATATATAAATGTTACTTTGGCTCGCCATAGTAAGGCCTTCGGACGAAACGGTATGGCCCAGGAAGCAAAGGTTTGACATATTGATGTGGGATTTGTCATATTTCTGTAAGGAGGTTCAGTACTGCAGAGAGATTTGCATCATTTTTGTGCTTTTGATCGCGACCGAAGAGGACAACGTCTTCAAGGTAACATTGTACTCCATCAAGACCACTTAGAGTGCACGACATGGGGTTTTGGAAAGCCGACAGTGCAGATGCTAATCCAAAACAGAAGTTCTTGAAGCGGAACAAACCAACATGTGTAATGAAGGCTGTGAGATAATGCATGTCTTCATGTAGTAGTAGTTGATGGTACGCAGAATTCATGTCAAGGGAGCTGAAAACACTTGTGACACCCATTCATTGGTGTTGATACGCCCGATGATATCTGCATCTTTGAGACATTTGAGCTCATTTGCCACTTTGTCCCACAGTCCCTGCTCAGCAGTCTCTGGTACATTGGATTGAGGGAGGGATGGGCGTACTTTGACTTTGTGTACATAGATTTTTGCAAGTCCAACTTTCTCATTGAAGAGCTCGATCTGGGTATTGTTTGCGCATGTCCGTTGAATTTTGGTTGGATGGAGTAGTTGCAGTTGGAGATGGAGGAATTGACGATGGAGGTTGTGAGTCGTTGCCATTCACGTGCATGACCTTACCACCTGTGATTGTAATATCCAGGCGTCGGATCAAGTCTAGTCCCACGATATTGAAGCCAGACTGAACAACGAAAAAGTGCACAGGAACACAACGCTCAGGATTAATTGCAAGACAAACAGTGGTGTGGAATGTACCCAGTACTGTTATTGGTTCGTGCAGGTAAGTAGTGAGTTTAGCTGTTGTAGGTTGCAATGCCTCGTGTGCAAAGAACTTTCCCAATGACGATGCAGGAATTATTGACACAGCAGCCCTAGTATCAACAGTCATCACAAGTTGCACATATCGGCCAAGGATCACGGAGCAATTGATACTATCAGCATGTGAAATGTGCTGAATGGTCAAGATGTTGAAGTCTTGATAGTCTGGATGAAGTGCTACAGGATTATCACTGGTGAATACTCCATGAACCGAATTGCGTGTAGGTGGAAATCGCTGTCCAGACCAGCAAACACGTGTCTATATATAATACCCTATTTTTCCCAATAGCGTACTTGGCTTTGCAGTAAGGACCATTTGCTTCGTGTGATTTGTTCCCCAAAGCGTTAGCAAATCTGTGAATGCAGCTGTGCTGGTCTAGATTCTTGCAGAGGCTGGTCGTGGTTTGCAATTTTGCTGTAGGGTGTTAGGTGTGTAACTGCATGTACGTCTGCCTCTGGAGTATGGCTCCTGGAAACTGTGAACGTCTGCGAAATTTGTATCTTTCTGCAACCACTTTCAGTTTGGGTTGGAAATGTCTGTCAAGCACCCAGAGAGTAAAATCATATTCATCATCCTTTTCCCCTGCATTCTCTTGTGGAAGCGTATGGAATGTGCGCTGACCTTCCAGTGCCAAGGTAGTGCAGTAGCAAAGCATGTTTACGTAAGGCAGGATATGTATTTGCAGCTGATGCAACAGTGCACGTTTCAAACATACCTCGCCACTGAGTCCATGGAACTGGGGGAGTTCCGGAGTTATGAGAAGAATAGAGGCAATGGAATTGATGCCATGGCTAGTGAGAAACCTCAGTATGATCTATATAATCCTCCATCGTCGCCAGTTAATGTTAGGTCCAAGGTGTATAAATGGGTTACAAATCCAGTACTGAGAGAGAACAATTCAGATTCGAGGGTAACACTTTATTCATACAATTCCAACATGGCGCTGCCCTCTCTTTTCAACTCTGAGGGCGCTATGCAAATACAAAAAAAGTGTGAACACAACATGAGGTCAGCCACAGGAAGATCTTCAATCATAAATATACCACACCTGGAAAGGGCTGCTTTGCCTTTTAAGGAGAACCACTTGACGTTCTGGGCGATATATAAATTTGGCTAGGATGTGGCAGGTCTTGCCTTGCACTGGACGTCCACAGCGGTGTGCATTTTCTATTTCTGGTTCCATGTCACACTTCTTCTTCAGGATTTGATGAACATGTATCCTCTCTGAATTAAACCAATATTTACTTTGCACTTTATAACTGATGATGCCATCAAATGGGAATTAAGGTGTTCTTAGAAGGTTTTAAAGGGAATGCACATCATTGGCTTTTGCTGTAATTTTCGGAAATGAACTATTTGAGGGGTTAGTATAATAGATCAAATAATGTTACACTGACATTTTTGAAGTTTTGTGTTCGAAAAGTTGGAAAAAACAAGAAAAACAAAAATGTTCAAGTAGTCTGGTTCCCTGACTCCACAAAAGATAAAAAGGATCAATTTATAGATGATGGAAAATTGTACGGCAAGGGAACCAGTCTTAAACTGGCCTGCACCCGTTCATGAACATGTAACCAATAGCAAACAAAATTTGGACTGAAAAATGGTAAATTTGGAGCAGTGGTTGAAAAATAGTTAGGTTTTTCCAATGCTGGTCGGCCGACCACCGTTGGAAATGTATACAAAAATACCATTTTCTCGAAAATGACTTCACACCAGGTGCCATAATTTTACAAGATGCTTGAGACTGTCATTTACCAACATCCTAGTAAGGTATTTCATAAAAACTTGGTAGTTTTATTTTTCGATGTTTGCAAATGTTGTATATTCCCTTTAAACACTATGTTTAAGATTTATTGGAGTCTATGGAATGCTGATAATTACCCGAGGCGAAGCCGAGGGTATGTCCCTCTACAACTCCTTACTTTATAAGGAGACTGGCAAGAGCATCGCACGTACTGTGCGATATCGCGCAAAATGCAGCTGCGCTGGTGAAGTGTAAATTTTGGACAATGACTGGCCATGTGACGGCTCTCTACCAATGGGAATGGGTAAACTGCCTTAGGTATTTATGAATTTCAGATTAAAAGAAATTGTTTCACTGGAGGGGTATCGTCATTGCCTACGGCGTCTGTCCGTCTAGTAGTTTGTCCGTTCTGAAAATACCCCCTTGTGGGGTGATGTTCCTTTCAGGACACATCACCCCACTATTTTCACAATAGAAAAACAACACCCCAGAAGAGAATCTTTAGAAAAAGGGATAATGGGAACACAATGCTATCACCCCACAATTCCGTCTGGCTAGACCGTTCGTCCATCCATCCTTCCCGGCAGCTTAGTTTTCAGATGACAACTTGAGTTAGAAATGTTGTTTGGGATTATAACTTTAGAAGGGGATTGCCCTTGGATACAGGCAAGTTAGGATTGGTTTTGTGGTCAAAGGTCAAGGTCACATTCACAACTTTAAAAAGTGGACAATGACTTAAAAAATTTGCGAGCCTGAACTCTGCGCTTAACTCAGAAGTATGCAAGTTGGTGTGGTTTAAGTGTCAAAAGGTCAAAGGTCAAGGTCACAATGGTGAGTTTAAGATGAATGGTTGTCGGATGATAACTTAGTTAGAAATGTGATTTGGGTTTAACTTTAGAAGGGGATTGCCCTTGGATACAGGCAAGTTAGGATTGGTTTTGTGGTCAAAGGTCAAGGTCACATTCACAACTTTAAAAAGTGGACAATGACTTAAAAAATTTGCGAGCCTGAACTCTGCGCTTAACAAATGTACTTGTAGATCTCTAGTTGTTCATATTGAATTGAGGAATTGATCTTATCTACTGTTTTAAAGTGGCTATTGTGGAAACACCACATTCTATTTTGGTTGCTCTTAAACAATATTTTCAAAATTTATAAGAGTGTGCTTGCATACGCACCTTTGAAAATCATCTGAAGTGATTGTAATTTTCTTCCAAAAATACAATTTTACACAACGATTTTGCACAATATTTTGTACATGCCCTATCTCCACTTTCAGAATTTTTTTTTCTCTAGTAAATCAGTATCTTTTTTCCCCAGATATTTAAGAATGTTCCTACATGCCTTCAATCTGTGTTACATTTTGTTTCCACTTATGATTACAGACAAAGGATGTTGCACATATTTGGGAACTTGGAGGTGGTACATTTCTGTCTGAGCTCGTAGAGGTACCCATAAAAGAAGACAATATTCTGTGAGTATAATTTATTTAACCCCCTCACAGGGGCGTAGCACAGTCTTTTTTTATTGGGGGGGGGGGTTAAAATCTTTTGAAAAGGGCATTTGCACATCCGTGCTGAAATAGTAGGCCAGCCAAATGTGGAAAAGTACCCTGGAGAATAATTTCACTTTATTTTTTGGTAATAGCTGGCATCCATGCTAGATCCTTTCTTTGAACCATAACAAACAACATGTTGGTGGATGCCACCATTAATTTTGACCCTAAATACATTGTATACCTAATTTGCATAAATCTTTAATACCTGCCGTGTAGTATATTTTTGCCCTTATTTGGGAATATCTTTTATTTTTTTATTTTTTTGAAAATTTTATTTTGGTGATTCTACTTCACATCCTTACTTCAACAACATTTTCTAACGCATATAAGCGACTGAATAACTATTAGTATATAGTAACAATCCAAAATGGCTCCTATTATACCCCAAAGTTGGGCGCATTTTACTTTGTCTCCATATATCTTCAAGAAGTCTTGCCAAACATCAGTATTGATGAGCTTCAAATTCACCTAGTTGCTTACTGGCACAGTAACCCTATTAAAACCTTACAGAAATTCATGTGACGATGATAACATTGTGACATTTAGCCCAGCAAACAAAAACGGGAAAACAAGGTGTCTGTTAATTAGCCTAATTAGTGAAGGGTTGCCTAACGTGAGAGACTTGAAACAGTTCAAGGACATTCTCTAAATGATTAGAAAGAAAATTAACGGGAAAGAAAATATTTTGACACTGACATAATTATTACAAACATGTTTTTTGGGTTTTTTTTTGGGGGGGGGGTGTTTCTTGAACTTATTCAGGTATCCCACGTTAGGCGACCCTTCTCCTAATTTAAGCCCAGTTTACGAACAGCAAGCTCATTTTCCCCCGTTTTTGTTTGCTGAGCTTAATACCACATTGTTATCGTGTTCACATGATTTCCCATAAGGGTTTTAATAGGAACACCAAATCATTTGGGCACACCAAATCATTAAATCATTTTGTTTACGGTCCAATAGACAATCAAAACTGGGAACAGCTCTGTGGTTGTTCACAACCACAACCTCCAGTTTATTTTTAAGTCATTGCCCTTAGCATTTGAACACGTTTTTTTTGTGTTACCGGCACTAAAATTAATCCGATTTGCCTTTATACTCGGCACACCTTAGACCAGCACCTGAAGATGTGTGCCGAACATTGACGTCATCGCAAGTCACATGACTTAGAATTATAGGTGCATATTTTAAAGGTCTATATCTCCAGAACTGCAGGTCTGATTGGGTTGAAACTTGGTATGTACCTAAACCGGGTTGTGTTATATATGAAAATTGAAGTGACGTCACGATGACGTCATCATGTAAAATGTGACTCATATTAAAAGTGCATATTTTGAAGATCAATATCTACAGAACTACCTGTCTGATTGGGTTGAAACTTGGTATGTACCTAAACCGGGATGTGTTAGAGATGAACATTTACGTGACGTCATGATGACATCATCACGTGACATGCGATTTCATATTAAAAACTGCATATTTTGAAGGACAATGTATACAGAACTACCAGTCTGATTGGGTTGAAATTTGGTATCTAGACCAGGATGAAACTTTAAGTGACGTCACAGTGACCTCATCAAAAGTACATTAAAAGTACATATTTTGAAGGCCTATATCTATAGGACAACATGTCTGATTGGGTTGAAAGTTGGTATGTACCTAGATTGGGATGTGTTATAAATGAAAATTGAAATGAGCTCATGATGACGTTATTTAGTGATATGGGACAGCATATTAAATGTGTATATTTTGAAGGCCAATATCTACAGAACTGTATTGGTCCTGATCACTCTACCACACGTCATATCAGTCTTACCTGACATATAAACATACAATAAAATTGCAGAAACAGCCGTATGTTAGTACACAAACATAATTGGCTGTTTCGGCACTTTTGCCGAATCAGCCTTTGTTTTCGTTAAGATTTTTTTTTTCTTTTTTTTTTTTCCTTCTTTTTCAGCCATTCCCCATAGCATTTGTACACGTTTTTACAGTGGAAGGCACTTTGGGCAATAAAATCAATCCGATTGACTTTATACTCGGCACACACTTAGACCAGCATCTGAAGATGTGCCCCGAAGATTGACGTCATGGTGACGTCATCGAATGATTTATTATAGAATTTTGAATATTTAATTTTTCCCATATACTTTGTACACAGAAATACAAAAAAAAATGTCGATTTTCAATGGGCATTTTTGACTCTTTGCCAGTAATTCATTTGTTCCAATCTTTGTCCAAGCAAAGACCCTAATTCAAACAACATTGTGTAATGATGACGTCATGATGACGTCATCCGGTGTGTATTTATAGGCAATTAAATTGTGACACTTTTAATATTTAAAAATGCAAAAGAAATCAATCGTACGCGTCCGCAGCATTCTGTTACCAGCAAGTGGTAGAGTAGGTTGAGGTCTTTCAGTATTTCATTCAGTGTGCGTGCAATCACGTGACCCTTGCTTCCGGTCGAAAAATGCCAAAACCGGAAGTGGCTTATTATTTGAAAATGGTAATAGATATGAACTTGCTTTTAACGGTGTTAGTCTCTTGGCTAAAAGTATTCTTCAAATCATTTACCAATGACGTCATGCAATCTTCGAGCGCCCTCTAGCGACAGGTTGAACATTTGCAAAAATGTATTTTGAATAGATGTCTGTTGCGAAGTTTGTTGGAATCGCCTAAATATTGGTGTATATGATGACCTTGATCCACTTAAGACGTGTGCGAAGTTTTAGGCGAATGACGTCATCAGACCGGAAGTTATAATAAAAAGACCCTTTTTCATTTGAAAATTCCTGAAAAATCAACCATGGCAGTTTTTATGTTACCGGTAGTTTTTACTTTAATTGTCGATTTAAGGGTAGGTCTAAAACATTTGAAAGCTTCGAGGCAATAAGCGAACTCGGACATGCCCTGCGCACGCTTAAAACTTCAGGTTGACAATACCTCTGCTCTAAAACATGCACAGAACGTCTATATGTACATACACGTACGTTACGCACATACATCGTATGTCAGTCAGCCTGCAGAGCACGTGTTGCCGAGGTCAAATCCTGTCCACATCACAGTGACCGTTTTAGCCGATTTTCGGCTAACTTTGACATATTTTATGTTCATACATGCGCATAGTCAGGGACGTATAATAAAAAATCATAATGCCAAAAAGCCCTATGCTACGTATTTAAAGGTGCAGTTTTTCTGCAGTGGGATTTTCCACAAGTCTTTTCCTATACAACACTGATATCTTACTGAGTAGTTCTGAACTTCAGCCGAGAATTACTATAAGAAGGAATGAGAAATCGTGTTTTCTTTCGCGCTGTCATTCGATTGAACATATTCCTAAGGGTCAGAATATCAAGTAATATTTCATAAAAATGTTTCAGTTCAAAGACAAATTACAAATTTAAAGGTGCAATTTTTCTGCAGTGGGATTTTTTTTTAGCCCGTTAACTTTGTACATGTGTTAGCCCATTGACTTTGTACACGTTTTCAAGCCACCATTTCTATAACTTGGCGATCTGGAATCGTCATCAATGTTACAGCCAAGGAAGACCCTCATACAAAAATTATGCCAAGACTATGACGTCATGATGACGTCATCACCTAATTTTTTTATGCCCCGCGGCGAAGCCGAAGGGGCATACTGTTTCCGCCTTGTCCTTCCGTGGGTGGGTGGGTGGGTGGGTGGGTGGGTGGGTGTGTGGGTGTGTGTGTGGGTGGGTGGGTGTGTGTGTCCGGATAAATCGTGTCAGCGCGATAACTTGAGAAATACTTAACATATGAACTTCAAATTTGGTTTGTGGATTGTTCTTGGTAATCCTAAGAAGCCTATTGCATTTGGGGCCGAAAGGTCAAGGGTCAAGTTCACAGTGGCTAAAACAATAGAAATCTTGTCAGCGCGATAACTTGAGAAATACTTAACATATGAACTTCAAATTTGGTTTGTGGATTGTTCTTGGTAATCCTAAGAAGCCTATTGCATTTGGGGCCGAAAGGTCAAGGGTCAAGTTCACAGTGGCTAAAACAATAGAAATCTTGTCAGCGCGATAACTTGAGAAATACTTAACATATGAACTTCAAATTTGGTTTGTGGATTGTTCTTGGTAATCCTAAGAAGCCTATTGCATTTGGGGCCAAAAGGTCAAGGGTCAAGTTCACAGTGGCTAAAACAAAAGAAATTTTGTCAGCGCGATAACTTGAGAAATACTTTACATATGAACTTCAAATTTGGTTTGTGTATTGTTCTTGGTAATCCTAAGAAGCCTATTGCATTTAGGGCGAAAGGTCAAGGGTCAAGGTCACAGTGGCTGAAACAATAGAAATTTTGTCAGCGTGATAACTTGAGATATACTTTACATATGAACTTCAAATTTGGTTTGTGGATTGCCCTTGGCAGTCCTAAGAAGCCTATTGCATTTGGGGCCGAATGGTCAAGGGTCAAGGTCACAGTGGCTAAAACAATAGAAATCTTGTATTTATTCTGAGATCATAGGGATTAGGGATTAATTCATATAAAACCTACAGAAGACACTAATGCTGTCAATTAATGAACGTTCCATGTGACCAAGGTACATGTAAGTTGATGTTAAAAGAGTGGTGTTATGTCATGGGAACAGTCACGGTTGCGGGGCATTTGTGTTTGTAAACACACCTGACTTGTTTAAATTTATTTTTGAAAATTTACGTGCATATTATGAAGTCCTATATCTACAGAACTGTAAGTCTGATTGGGTTGAAACTTGGTATGTGTTATAGGTAAAAAAAATTAGGTGACGCCATGATGACGTCATCCGGAGATTTTATATGACTATTTGAAGTTTTTGACCTTTTAGCCATATCTCATGAACGTAACATGCAAAATTCAAAATTCTTTGTGTATTTGGTCTGTTAGGTAAAAGGTATTTGCACAAAATTTGAAAAAAAATATCTGACATCATTATGACGTCATAAAAATGCGATTTTTCAAAATACAAATAAGGAAAGGTCTGACTGTCATGAAACTTAGCGGGTAGGTAAATAATGGTACTAGTATACAAAGTTTAAAGTGACGTCACGATGACATCATCGTTTGGTTTTTATAATTTTTAGATATTTATAATTTTATTCTGCTTTCACAAATTGCACATCTCACGAACAGAAATGCTAAAGTCAATTTTCTTAATTATATTAATCGGATTTAAGGTCAAAGCTATATGACAAATTCAAATGACGCAACAACTGCATGTAAGTTTGACTGCAAAAATTGAAGAAAAAAAACGATAAAAAGGCTTAGAAATTGACCACAAGCGTGTGGCATGTGGAGAAAATTAAACTTTTTCCAAATACGGTGGGTAATACTGCCAAAACATACCCTTCCAGTGCATGCTCCAGACACATGTGATTGCATTGGTTTTAAATACTGATCTTTGGCATTTCGCCTTTTGTTGACTTCCGCCAATGCCATCTTAGATTGCTCTCAGTTTCCTTTATTTTGTAAACACCCCTATACACTTATAATTGAGCACATTAATACGAACTAAGCCCGCATCGCCAGCTTTGAGGGGTAATGAATAAAATAAATCACTACAAGAAAACTCTTTACAATTTATGACTGGGGAGAAACATTGAATGAAGACCTGCTACAATTGGAGTTTTACGTATTAAACATTAAATGGCCATTATTCTATTATATGGTCTGTCTGCAGCACAATACTATCCAATTTGGTTGTAGCTTGGTATGAACCTAAGCCGCCATGTCGTATACATAAATCCAACTGACGTCATGATGACGTCTTGACATGACATCTCACTCACATTAAAGCTGCATTTTCTACAGCCTATAGGCCTAAATCTACATTTGCATTTTCTTTTTACTACACCTGCATTACCTATCAGTCTGTAACATAATGCCGAAACAGCCCTATTTGTCCACAAACATATGTCTAGTTAAATCTTGTTTGTGTTTTTTGTTTCTTTCTGTCAGCTCTTCATCAATTATGCTGGTTCTAGATCTCTCTCATCCTCATGAACTGTGGGTAACCATGGAGGTTCTTCTTAAAGCTGCACGTAAAAGAATTGAAAACGTCATGACTAAACTGTTAACTGCTTGTCCAGACGTTCAAGAAGAAATCATGACTAGATCAAGGGAACGATTTGGGGATCATCCTGTAAGTATATTATGTACAATGTATCAGGTCTAGTATTATGTTTAATTTTTCTTTTAACCCTTTCGTGTGCTGACAGGTTGTTAATAACCAGTTTAACAGTCTTCCACAAAAATGATTTAATGACAAAGAAATGGTGCACATCATAAGACAATAGTTCTTTCATAATCAGAAAGTGGACTCTTAAGGGTGCTGTTTCAACTTCCTTTTTGTAAGGGTCACCATTTTCAAAATTTACGTAAACAATGTTCCAAGTTCTGAATGTAAAATGCTCAAGTGTCAGGATTTTGTTTCAAAGTTACATGAGAAATGACTTCACTTTTTCATGCAGGAAAAGCCCCCAGAATTGTAGTTCCATTACTGAACACACCTTACCAATGTTTACCTACATTTGTATATAAGCAGACAAGCGCACGAACCTCGCTGAATAAAAAGGCGCCCATGCCACACCCTCTGCTCCCACCACATGTCCATCATAAAGCTTGTAGACCAGTAAATAAACTGCCATAGACTCCAATGATAAATGCCCCCAGGCCACTTCAAAAATTCAGGAAAAATACTCTCCAAGGTATTTGAGACACACATTAAATTAAAGCCATTTGATTTAAAGCTAATTAAAACGATGACTACACTCCATTGCAAAATAAAGCACTGTTAGGGTTCCAATTTCATCCAAATTGCACAGAACTACAAGCTCACAGCCCTGTGCACGGCTTCCACCCATATTTTTTACAAACCCTCAAGTTCATGGTCCACAATATGCTCAAATAACGAAGAATTTGAGGGCATGCAAATCGTGATTTGGCCAGTGTAGGCGATTTTGGACCGATTTACTGGCCTGCAACCATAAGGCCCTGTACTACAATTTAGGCTTGTCCTAGTTTTATTTTACCCGACGTGTAGCGTGCACATCGTGTGAATTTAACACATGAAAGCCGTATTTCACTGTGCTGACAACATCGGCATATGTCGCCTAAATGAAAAAGAAAGCTGTCAAGCTCAACCCGCACATCTTCGATAGCCACGAGAGCACATACAAGCAACAGAGTGAGAGGTTGTTTCAAGATCAAAATTGCTTGCGAGACGGCCGGGACTTGGCGTTGAACACCACTGGGTCAGTCCGTAATTCGACCAGCTCAGCACGGTCACCACCAAGCTCACCAGTCATCACGTTTTAGGCAACGCTAAATGGTCATCACGTCACAGGCACGATCGAGGTTCCCGGATGAGATACAGAATTTTCTTCACATATTTCCTGATACACCCAGTTGAATTTTATACAGTGTTCCCGGTGGACTTTTCACACACCAATATATGTGCCGTACTATGGGAATTCTTTGCAGTCTATCGTGAAGTACTTTTCTCTGGAGGATACCAGTCTCATTCTTTGCATGCAGCGCTCAACTGTGTCACACTTGCGGTCCTGCTCGGTAGGCACCGTCGATATCGTATTTTGGCCAATACCGCTATATCGTTTTTTTTATATCGATATTATTGATATATTGATATTTTATTCATTTTAATTTTCAAGGTATTATAACAGGCGTGAATTGCATGGGATCTAGTCTTTCGTTCGCTTAAAAAAAATAGCTGACACCGAATCTGCGTGGGGACGTATTCGCTCGTACCTACTGCCCTGCAAACAGGATGCTGGGATACTCTGATGAATTCACGATCTGATTGGTTGGATTTTCCATGACCAGTGACCTGCGCGTCATCAAGGTCATGACTCTGCAAGGTTTGAAACGGTCGTTAAGACTGATTCATTACTCTTGTATTCCAGTTTAGAGATGCTTTTTTCTCGTTGAAAAGCGAAATAATGTAGGAAATTCTGTAAAATATATCTGTGTTGTAAATTTACAATTCCCGTCACTCGCTCAGGCTTCGTTTCGAATCACGAACGGTCGGATTGCATTATGCGACGCTCAAAATTTTGTCCACATGGTCCGCAAGGAAACAGAAATCATATCTGGTTTGGAATGTAAGCTTAAAATTTAAACTCAAATACAGATGCTCCGTTTCAGTGATCATTGAGAAAAGGATAATTTTCATGACAAATTTGACTGTGAAGATGAATTTTGCCAAACGTAAAAAATGGTTTGCATAAATAATCAGGTTGTGATCTCTCTGAATCATGCATTTTCGTAAGAGCAAACCCAGCAAGTGATAACAAAAAATGTGTTTGAATATAATTTTTTTTTCAATCTTGAATGGAGTTTTCCTCAACGCGACATTTGCGGTCTAGTATGGTACCCGCGTAATTGAGTCTCATATATTGTTTAAGGACACGTTCGGGGATACACGGTTCTAGATTTCGGACCCGATGGGAAAATCTTGGGGCCCAATACTGTTTTACATTTTAATTTTGCCGCGTATTGGGCCCGAGATTTCCCCTCGGGTCCGAAATCTGGAACCGTGTATCCCCGAACGTGGTACATGGGTTCGAAGTCTGACTGTGGGAACATGGTGCTTGTGCTCTTGAGCAAGGCACTTTACCATTATTGCTTCGTCCTTCAGATGGGACGTAAAGCCGTAGATCCCTTGTGTTGTATAATGCACGTTAAAGAAGCCAGTAACACTTATTGCTGAGAGAAGGGGTTTGCCCCGATGTTTCTGGCAGTGGCTGCAATATACGCCACAGACATACCGGTAATCGATGAAGTCACCAGTCGCGATAATAGGGAGTCTGACTACAGGATCAGACTCTGTGTTGCTCTTTATGCTGCCTATGCATGCAACCATTAAAGTTATGTACCGCCCTCTTCTGGCGAGAATGAAGGTCGTAATGTACATTGTACATGCTGTGCATGATGTTTTAAAGCTGTGGCTTGGTCAACCAAATTTTAAGTGTGCTGCAGGTGGCATGTTCAATTTTGCTTATTGCCACGAAACATTGGAAGGTTTTAAACCTACCCTTAGATTGTGACTTACAGCAATTTACAATTATAACTTGCAGTGTTGATTTTTCAGGAATTTTCAATATCACGTCCCTGACTATGTATGTGCAACGTTTCAACCCAATCGAACCTATGGTTCTGTAGATACCAGTATATTATTAAAATATGCACCCTTATCACCTGTACAATATCTATGGGATTTTGAGGGAACAAAAAGAAGGAAAAGAAAGAAAACATCTTAATGAAACATGAGCTTCTTTGGCTGATGACCAAAGCAGCTAATGAAGCAATTAATGTGGAACAGCAAGAAGTATATTCTACACCAATCCACTTGCATATTTCTATATATTGAAATGTGTGGTTTTCTTTTCTTCTATATTAACAGGACCTGGAGATGATTGATCCATTTCTGTTACCTTTAGTCATTGTGGGCATGAAGTATGATGTTTTCCAGGCAAGTTATAATATCTTGTGTACTTTAGGCCAAAAAAAAAAGTCTCCGGTTTCTGGTATGCGCGCGCGTCGCCGTAGCCATGCGCGTCGGCAAAATGAAAAAGGTTTTTTTTTCAATACAAGATGATGTCTCAAAACCGCCAAACTCACTGGTTTGACTGGAATCCTGCTGCTGCACAATTTTAACGTGTTTTTAGATGGGGTTATGATCGAGAATAAGCTTTTTGTGGCCTCTCTGGACTCCCATATATTTGCACTAAGTTTAGTCGGGCACCATTTGCAGTCATCAGCCGACATTTGAAGCAAAAAAAAAAAAAACAGGTAAAAAAAAAAAAAAAGCCGCGTCGCTGCACCACTTTTGGGGCAAGCTCCATACCAGAAACCGGAGACTTTTTTTTTTGGCCTTGGTGTTGTTGAATTTAGGTTGAATTTTTTTTTGTTTTATTAGGTTTTTAGGAAAACAATTTACAATTGGTATGTATATTTGGTAGGGAATATTTGGTTGTTTCCACTTGATTATTCTCTGTGTCTCATTCTAAATGGCACATTGAGTGAAACTCAAATCTCAAGAAACAGCAATAGTGAGGATAATATGGACCTGTAAGGAAATTAGAAATGGTTATGTGAAAAATGTTTTTAACATTTCATCATTTATTACTCATGTGGGGGCAGAATCAATTGACATGTACATCTGAGGTTACCATTCGGTCAAAATAAGCTGAATTTTAATGTAAATGAAAGGTAAAAATGAATGTACCAACCCTAATATCCGTTCAGTGAATTGTATTTTCTGATGGGTTTCAGGATTTTGACTCGGAGAAACGGAAGATAATCGGTAGAACATTAAGATTTGTTGCACACCATTATGGAGCTTCTTTACAGGTAAGAAAAGAAGTAATCACATATTCAGATTGACTTTCACTTAGAATCCATAACAAAGTAAATTTAAATTAATGCATAAAAGTGAAACAATATCAATCATCAATCAATCATCTCCAGACATAAGTCTGTTCGATAAAAAGAACATAGGACTTTTCCACATTTTATTTTAAAATGTTTGTGCTTAGTTTGTCCATGTGCAGTCAAGTTAATGTTCAATTTCATGTACGAACAAAGCTCCATGATTCATAGGCTGTTTTTGCATACACGAGTATGAATTGTAAATTTGTGGTGAGTCCATAATATGATCAAGCCCTAAAATGAGACTAGTCATCTCCACACATTCAATGTCGAATAATATGTCTGAGTGAAGCTTCAATAAATATGAGTAATTGCAATGTCTTCAAACCACCTTTTCCATCCAAAACGAATGAGATTTCTTAATATAGTGAGCAACTACATGAATAGTGGGAGTCATTACACCTCTTTACGCCAAAACAATAGTTAATTTCTTTAAGGGGTCGAAAATGCAATGTTGCAATACCTTAAATTAATATACTTCATAGCCACCCGGACTCACCCAAAGCATTTGCTAGGACTTTGTGCACTGACTTTTCCAGTGCATTTAACACCAGCGAACTTCATTATCTTGGTTCCAAAACTGTTGCAATGAATGTTTCCTCTATTCTGCAGTGGATTTGAATATTTGAATTTTTTTACCTTTTAGCCATATCTCAAGAATGCAAAATTCAAAATTCTTTTTGTATTCGGTTCGTTAGGTAATAAATAGGTAATTGCACAAAATTTTGAAAAATGTGTGACGTCATCATGACGTCATCAAAAATGTGATTTTTTAAAACACTTATAAGGCAAGGTCCGATCGTCATGAAACTTGGTGGGTAGGTAGATAATGGTACTAGTATGCAAAGTCCGAAGTGATGTCACGAAGATGTCATCGTTTGATTTTCTATGATTTTTTTAATACTTAAAATTTTATTCTGCTTCCAAAATTGCACACTTCCATTCATTGGGTTGAAACTCGATATGCGGGTAGACCGGGATCTGTTATAGGAACAAAATGAGATGACGTCATGATGACATCATGGTGCCATTTTCTATGATTTTTTGAATTTTTGGACTTTGCAGCCATACCTCACGAACGCAACATGCACAATACAAAATTCTTGTTGTATTTGGTTTGTTAAGTAACAAGTATTTGCACAAAATTTTGAAAAGTGTGTGACGTCATCATGACATCATCAAAAGCGTGATTTTTTAAAACGGGTATAAGGGAAGGTCCGATCGTCATGAAACTAGGTGGATAGCTGGATAATGGTACTACATGTTGTATACATGCAAAATCCGAAATGATGTCACCATGATGTCATCAGTTGAAATTCTAAGCATTTTGAACAACCTTTAACTGCATGAAGTACTCTAAAAAGTGACTGCAAAAGGACCAACAAAACATAAACATTTGTAAAATGCGAAAAACCCCTATGTTCTGTTTTCAAACAGACATACAGCTCTAGTTTTCATTCTTTTTCAGACTTCTGTCCATAGCATTTGTACACGTTAATCTTCAGATTCCCTGCACTGTGGGCACTTTAATGATTGCAATTGACTTTAAACTTGACAGAGACATCAATGAGCTGTGTGCCAAACATCGACGTCATCATGACATCATCATCATGTCATATGGGATGTCATGTAAAAGGTGCATTTTGCTAAGGCCTTTATCTCCAAAACTATAAGTCAGATTTGGTTAAAACATGGTACGTACTGTAATAGACTGAGCTGTCTTAGAGATGAAAATTGAAGTGGCGTCGTGATGACGTCATCACGTGTCATGTGATATGACATTACAGGGGCATCATTCAAAGGCCTTTATTTTCAGAACCATAGGTCCAACTGGGTTGAAAAAAATACGTACTGAGACCGAGATGTGTTATAAATAAAAAATGAAGTGATGATGTCATCATCTATGTCATGTGACATCATATTACAGGTGCAGTTTGAAATGGCTGTAACTACAGATCTGTATGTAGATGTAGGTGTGTACCAGGATCAGGATGTGTTAAAGATAATAATTAAATTTATGTCATGATGACATCATCACATGACATGTGCAGTCGCATTAAAGATGCATTTTTCTAAAGCCCATATCTGCAGAAATATAGGTCAGATATGGTTATAACTTGGTATGTAGCTGGGGAGTGTAATAGATTAAAATTGAAGAGACATCCTCATGATGTCATCATGATATTATTACCTGTCATATGACATCGTATTTAAGGTCATATATATACAATGTATACACAAGGGCGGATCCAGGGGGGGGGCCAAAGGGGGCCATGCCCCCCCCCCCCAAACCAAACCAATTTTTTTTTTTTTTTGTATATGACATCGCAATAAAGGCAGGCAATGAGTACACCACCATCTTTTCCTCAAATAAACATTGGTTAAAGTGATCAGAAATTGCCTCAGATCGCATTAAATACGCATTAGAAAAAAAAAAAAAAACCAAAATAGCCCTGTGTTAGTCCACATGACAAACACGTGACATGTCTAGTTGCCGTTTCCGCATAGTTGCGGAAAATCCTTTGTTTTATTTTTTGGTTCTAATTTTTGTAATTTTTTTTGTTTTCATTTCTAACCCAAATCCCATAGTACATTTTTCATCCAGCAAACAAAGTCATATTCCCATAAAATTTAACTAAGATAAAGACCCCATTGTGAAGACGTGTCCTGAGGAGTGACGTCATTATGACATAATCAGGGGTCGTGTGACATCATCTAAAGGTGCATTTTAAAGTCATATCTAGAGAACTACAAGTCTGATTGGGTTAAACAGTCGGTTAGAACTTGATTAGACACAATGGAAGAAAGAAACTTTAACTCACAGGATATGTACTTTGTTCCAATGCGCATGAATGTAAGTGACTTTACTAGCCTGCAGGAGAAAAAAATTGCAGATGCTGGGGGTCTGATCATTCAGAGATTGATTACCAATAATAAGCTTCCATGCTGCAAAGGTAATCATGTCAAAATATAAACTAGAGATGTATAGCAACTAAACCTTGCATTTTGCCACCTCATATGGTACAAGGCCCATGGACTCAATTTAACTTGTCACAAATCATTTAAGGCATAATTTGACTGTAATGATTTGTTCTCTAATTTCTATTTTTCTTTCCTTATCACTGCATTCCTCTTTTTGTTTAGTTGTTTTTGACTGCAAAACATCTTTTCCCATGAGATCTGTTATCCGGGAATCATCAGGAAGAACTCCGGTTCAGATTGGTCTTCCAGAGTCGCTTTGAACTAAATAGATTAGCAACAACTCAAGTCAACCCAAAGAGACTTGAGGTTTAAGACAGGCAAACTTAATACATGAGGATCGCATGCTAATAAAGGAAAACATGATCTTAGCAACATGCCACCATTGCCCCCATGATTTTGTGGCAATATGTTTTCGAACAGGACCACTGTATCTAAGATTGTTTTCGCTCTTCGCCGCACTGCCGAAAGTGAGGAAAACCTCCGGTATTTATAGGCAGTAGAAGTCTCGGGATTAAATAATGCATGAGCACTGATTTAGGAATTAACCAATAGTAATCTTCCATGTCGAAGGATCACATGACTAGTCACATGGTTTACTAAGAGTGCCTAGTGCAAGAGACTAGAAACGTGTGCATTTACATAAGGGAAAACATGGAGAGAGAAGTGTGCAAATACAGAGAGAGATGTGTGCAAACAGTGAGATCAGAGTGCAAAAGTGTTTACACAACATCTCAAGCAACCTTGATGAAGTGAGTGACAAGCTAAAAGGTTACTGTGTCACAGGTTATTTACATCACAGGATGTCTTACCGCGCCCCGTTACGCGACAACGCAAGGGTAACATTCCATTCCCTCGAGCTAAGTACGGGACTGGAAAACTGGACCGTGAACTCCCGTTAGTGTTCATGGGTAACACACGGGGGAGAGAAACACTCCGTGCCGCTGAGCAGTCTCTCGGAGAACGCCAAAGCACACATGCTATGGGGAAAGGAACTTAGCTCGCTGGGGCGAAGGGAGGTGTGGTCAGTCGCGCACATGTGCCTTGCTACATGAATAATGAATGCAGTAGCGCGCGTGGTATTGCATCATGCGCTGTGCTTGGTAAGAGACCCTGGGAATAAAAGTGCAAGTTGGCAATTTACGATAATTAGGTAAAATAAGGGAACAGCAAAAGACAACAATAAGATTGTGTACTTCATGGACAGAGGGCGCTAGATTTCCATAATCAAGCATTCTGGGTTCGTAACACTATTCCCCCTCAAGTTTTTACAATGTCCTCGTTGAAACCAAGAGGAAAACAGTAGAGTCAATACAGTTATTTGAAGTTGGCTTGTAGAAACTCCAGTTCATGAGTTCAGATCGAGGTAGAATAGTGAACACCAAAAAAACACGAATTACGCAGGGCACAGCATAATTCGTTGAGCAAAATCTAGAGTTCTTCTAGAGTTTGTGGTGACTGTCACTTTTTGATGTTTTGTATCTAATCTACTTGTAATAGAACTTAATTCTACAGAGACTAAAAACTACTAAAACAGTAGAGTCAATACAGTTATTTGAAGTTGGCTCGTAGAAACTCCTGTTCATGAGTTCAGATCGAAGTAGAATAGTGAACACCAAAAAAAACACGAATTACGCAGGGCACAGCATAATTCGTTGAGCAAAATCTAGAGTTCTAGAGTTCGTGGTGACTGTCACTTTTTTGATGTTTTGTATCTAATCTTACTTGTATAGAACTTAATTCTACAGAGACTAAAAACTACTAATTCGGAAAATACAAGAAGGAAAATAACATAAACAAAACAAGAGTACAACTGTTCGAGTTCTACGAGTGTCGGCGACAATGTCCTTGGCTAGACACACTGTGATCGCAAACACAGCTGTTGCGTCCGAATTTATGAATGGACGGTCATTGCAGTGTGTACTTCCGCATTCCTGACCTTA